GCTTTATAAAAACATGGCGGCCTGTCTCACCCTGTGTGTGTGTGTGGAGCTGTGGATGGGGGGGACGGCGGTGTGCGACACTCCACAGCCTCCTGCAGCGTCGTCCTCCAGGGGGGAGGTGGAGAACAGCAGGTGGACTCCTCCTTCATCATCACCTCCTCCTCCTCCACTCTCCCCTCCTGCACCCTCCTCCTCCTCTTCCTTCCTCGCCTGCTGGTGGTGATGTTGTTGCTCCTCCTGTGGCTGCAGCTCAAAGCTCAGGGTGGCGTTCAGGGCGATGATGCCACTGCAGGAGGAAACAGCTGATTAACAGGAGTCCTATTCATATTTCACACACACACACACACACACACACACACACAGGAGTGTTTACCTTTGACCTCAGAGCTCCACTGTAAATATTTCTATCACAAATCAATAAAAAACTGTTTTTTATTGATTTGTTACCATGACGCTGACATCACAGGAAGTAGGATGGGCGTGCAGTTATGAAATCATATCGAGGGAAATGATGACTCAGGGTTTTTTTGTGCAGTTTCGATTCATTTCACAAACCAGACTCGGTTCTTTTCACCTTCCAGGCTGCAGGAGAGCAGCACGGAGCTCGCTGAGCTGCAGGAAATCTTTGTTTTTCCTTGTTCTCAGTAATCCAACCTGATGACTAAAGGTTAATACAGCTCGTGTATAATCTGAGCTCATTATTCTCGGGGCTTGAGGCTCGACCCTCTCTCTTCACGTGCTGATAAATAAACCTGATAATCGTCCTGCAGCTTGAATGTTTTCTGTGTCAGGTCAGAGGTCGTTGATCCGGATCAGCTCGGCCGGCTCTGGAACGCTGACGCTTCACTCGAATTTTCTGCCAAGAACACGGCATTAAACACAAAGACCTGAAACATCGAGTCCTGACTGAGCGGATTGGAGGTTTTTAGGTTTAAGGAGCTTTCTGACATGTTTGTGGTTTCTGCAGAATTCAGAATTCCTCTGACTGACCGTGAACATCTGTCAGTCTGAACACAGCTGTCAGCGATAAATATTCATATTTCACAGAGCAGCTGCCTGACGCTCAGCTTCGACCGTCAGCAGAAATCTGCAGCTTCTGTTTTTGCAGAGCGTTTGAAACCAGCGCTGTCTAAGCACGACGACTTCCTCCTGACCCGTGCGTCAGACTTCACGTCCGTTCGAGCGTTTAAGCACAGAAACTCTTTTCTTCTTCCTTCCTCTCTCACACTGAAATTACTGTATTTTTATAGTGTCTGTATTTAATACACACAGGAACCTCTAACAGCTGTCTGCAGGCACCTTAAACTCAAACAGGTGACCCTGAACTCTCCTGCAGACGTCCCAGGATGCAGTGGGGCTTTCTCCTCCGCTCTCTGTGGCACGCGGCAGAGACATGTAAAGGTTTATCTTCTCTCAGCTTTAGTTTGTTGTGTCTTGCTTTAGTTTTTCAGAGGAAAAGAGGATTGAGGGTCACCTGATCCGGCCCAGAGAGGAACGTTTCAAAGCTACAGTTGAAAGCTGAGGATCCACGGGAGACGGGCCGAACGCTCTACTTTTAGAAACTCTGTGAACCACAAATAAGCCTCCAGCTGAGAGCGAGCGGCTGTGATGGGCCTGAAAGGTTGTCCTTCCTGTTGGGGGTGGGGGTACTGACCAAGGTTATTATCGTTAACGAAAACTAACGAAATAACGAAAACTAGAAGTGAAAAAACAT